ACGGTCATGGAAGATCTAGTAGTACTTGGTCTCATGGCCATGGAAGATCTAGTAGTACTTAGTCTCACGGTCATGGAAGATCTAATAGTAGTTGGTCTCATGGTCATGGAAGATCTAGTAGTACTTGGTCTCATGGCCATGGAAGATCTAATAGTAGTTGGTCTCATGGTCATAGTATCTAGTAGTACTTGGTCTCATGGTCATAGTATCTGGTAGTACTTGGTCTCATGGTCATAGTATCTAGTAGTACTTGGTCTCATGGTCATGGAAGATCTAATAGTACTTGGTCTCATGGTCATGGAAGATCTAGTAGTACTTGGTCTCATGGTCATAGTATCTAGTAGTACTTGGTCTCATGGTCATAGTATCTAATAGTACTTGGTCTCATGGTCATGGAAGATCTAGTAGTACTTGGTCTCATGGTCATAGTATCTAGTAGTAGTTGGTCTCATGGTCATGGAAGATCTAATAGTACTTGGTCTCATGGTCATGGAAGATCTAGTAGTACTTGGTCTCATGGTCATAGTATCTAGTAGTACTTGGTCTCATGGTCATAGTATCTAATAGTACTTGGTCTCATGGTCATGGAAGATCTAGTAGTACTTGATCTCATGGTCATAGTATCTAGTAGTAGTTGGTCTCATGGTCATGGAAGATCTAGTAGTAGTTGGTCTCATGGTCATAGTATCTAGTAGTAGTTGGTCTCATGGTCATGGAAGATCTAGTAGTACTTGGTCTCATGGTCATAGTATCTAGTAGTAGTTGGTCTCATGGTCATGGAAGATCTAGTAGTACTTAGTCTCATGGTCATGGAAGATCTAGTAGTACTTGGTCTCATGGTCATAGTATCTAGTAGTAGTTGGTCTCATGGTCATGGAAGATCTAGTAGTAGTTGGTCTCATGGTCATGGAAGATCTAGTAGTACTTGGTCTCATGGTCATAGTATCTAGTAGTAATTGGTCTCATGGTCATGGAATATCTAGTAGTAGTTGGTCTCATGGTCATGGAAGATCTAATAGTAGTTGGTCTCATGGTCATAGTATCTAGTAGTAGTTGGTCTCATGGTCATGGAAGATCTAGTAGTACTTGGTCTCATGGTCATAGTATCTAGTAGTAGTTGGTCACATTCAACCAGACTTGTTTTATAATGTTGAAGACATTTCATAGCTTCTCCAAGCCATTGAAGACGTAGCTCAGAACTGAAGAAGTGGCTGCTGAAAGTCTTCAACATTGAAGAACATTTCTAATATCTAAATATAGAAACAAATTGGCATTCTTGAAGAGGCTGAGTCTTCTTTCAGATGAGGTACCCAACAAAACGCAGACTGGCTTTGATTTTGTAGACAGTGGAAGTGCTGGAAAAGACACTAATGTGTGAAGTTTGGCGCTTACTTTAATGAGGCGTTGCTCAATAAACAAATGTGTAAACAAAGAAACAACATCGTAACACTTCAACAATGTGTATTTAATGTTTTTGGGATGTGAGGTGCTCCTGTCCAGTGTTCCTGTGAGCTCTGTTACTGCAGTTACAATGCCTTACAAATGAGACTCCAGCACTCCCAGTGTACTTGGCCCATAGAAATAATTCTGAGTTTTTTACCCCAGAGCCAAATAAAGTAAGCTGAGATGCACACCGGTGCAATGTAGAGCCACTTGAGCCATACTCCAGAAGAAGGTCTGTCTGTAGAGCCAAATCCTGAATGAAGGTAGAGTCCATGGAGCAATACCCCGGGTGAAGGTTGAGTCTGCAGAGACATACCTGAGGTGAAGGTAAAGTCCGTGAAGCCAAGCCCTGGGTGAAAGTTGAGTCTGCAGAGCCATAGCTCAGGTGAAGGTAAAGTCCATGGAGCCATACCCTGAGTGAAGGATGAGTCTGTGGTGCCATACCTTAGGTGAAGGTTGAGTCTGTGGTGCCACACCCTGGGTGAAGGTTGAGTCTGTGGAGCCATACCTCAGGTGAAGGTTGAGTCTGTGGAGCCATACCTCAGGTGAAGGTTGAGTCTGTGGAGCCATACCCTGAGTGCAGGTAAAGTCCATGGAGCTATACCCTGGGTGAAGGTTGAGTCTGCGGAGCCATACCTTGGGTGAAGGTAAAGTCTGTGGAGCTATAGTCTGTGTGAAGGTAGAGTCCATGGAGCCATACCCTGGGTGAAGGTAGAGTCTGTGAAAGCATACCCTGGGAGAAGGTAGAGTCCGTGGACCTATACCCGGTGAAGGTAAAGTCAATACAGTAATACTCTGGGTGAAGATTTAATCCATGGAGCCATACCCTGGGTGAAGGTAGAGTCTGTGGAGCTATACCTCAGGTGAAGGTAAAGCCACTGGAGTTATACCCTGGGTGAAGGTAGAGTGTGTGGAACCAGCCATACCTTGGGTGAAGGTAGAATCTGTGGAGCCATACCCTTGGTGAGGGTAGAATCTGTGAAGCGATACTCCAGGTAAAGGTAGAGTCTAGAGCCAAACTTGGGTGAAGACCAAGTCCATGGGGTCATACCTCAGGTGAAGGTAAAGTCAATAGAGTCATACTCTGTATGGAGGTAGAGTCTGTTTAGCCATACCCGAGTGAAGGTAGAGCCCATGCAGCTATAGTCTGGGTGAAGGAAGAGTCCATGGAGCCATAGCTTGGGTGACAATGTCCTTGAAGGGCACTGTTAATGCTAGAGTATGCATTTTAGACTAACCTCGTGGTAATCGTTGTGTACAAAGCCAGATCCATAAAGACACGGTTTGACTAGTTTAATGTGGGGAAACCCGAGTGGACTGCAGAGATCCCTGACTTCTACCCTACAGAACACCTTTGGGATAAATGGGAATGACAATTATGAGCCAGGTCTTCTCATCCAAGATCAATACCTGACCGGACAAATGTCCACAAATTTCCACAGACACCCTCCAAAATCTTGTGGAAAACCTTCCCGGAAGCGTAGCCACAAATGTGGTGGGGGGGAAAGGGAGGCAACTGCATAATAATGTCCATAGTTTTGGACAGGAATGTCCACCATGCCCAGGTGTGTTGGTAAGCTGTCTACAAACCTTTGACCATAAACTGTACTACAACTGATATCACCAAGAGTCATTTCAAGGTCAAAGTCCCTTCCGTCACACTTCAATTGAACTTTTTGGCTGTGTCTGCACGCTTCCAATGTTGAGTTGCAGACATAATTCACAGTTCACAACGGAAGCAGGGAGGGTGACACGGGTGCACAGTGAGGGTCTCATGGAACGGATGCAGGGAGGGTGGACAGTGAGGGTCTCACGGAATGGATGCAGAGAAGGTGACACGGGTGGACAGTGAGGGTCTCATGGAATGGATGCAGGGAGGGTGACACGGGTGCACAGTGAGGGTCTCATGGAATGGATGCAGGGAGGGTGACACGGGTGCACAGTGAGGGTCTCATGGAATGGATGCAGGGAGGGTGACACGGGTGCACAGTGAGGGTCTCATGGAATGGATGCAGGGAGGGTGACATGGGTGGACAGTGAGGGTCTCATGGAATGGATGCAGGGAGGGTGACACGGGTGCACAGTGAGGGTCTCATGGAATGGATGCAGGGAGGGTGACACGGGTGGACAGTGAGGGTCTCATGGAACGGATGCAGGGAGGGTGACACGGGTGCACAGTGAGGGTCTCATGGAATGGATGCAGGGAGGGTGACACGGGTGCACAGTGAGGGTCTCATGGAATGGATGCAGAGAAGGTGACACGGGTGGACAGTGAGGGTCTCATGGAATGGATGCAGAGAAGGTGACACGGGTGCACAGTGAGGGTCTCATGGAACGGATGCAGGGAGGGTGACACGGGTGGACAGTGAGGGTCTCATGGAACGGATGCAGGGAGGGTGACACGGGTGGACAGTGAGGGCCTCATGGAACGGATGCAGGGAGGGTGACACGGGTGGACAGTGAGGGTCTCATGGAACGGATGCAGGGAGGGTGACACGGGTGCACAGTGAGGGTCTCATGGGAGTGAGAATGGAGCAGGGGGTGAGCGTGGCTCCTCTGAAGACAGACTGAAGTGACAGATGTGGCGCGTGGAAGGTCCTCTGACAGGTTGTGGTGCAGGAAATGAGGGTAATAAATCCACATCTAGTTGTGACCTCTCCATGACAAGTAGGGAAAACATCCAGGTCTGGGAGCTGTGATGCAGAGTGACCCGTGACAGGCGTGTACAGCGTTCCTGCTATGAATTATGACCACATAGTCATGCATCTGGAAGACATTATCACACCCTATGGTGCAGACTGTAACCGGGTGGATTGTACCCCACTTATATACTTAAAGGGTTAGTCCACATTTACCAAAAAAACTGCCTGTGGGGGGGGGGGGGGGGGGGGGGGGGGGGGGGGGGGGGGGATCTGTGGATAAAAACAAGCTGTGCAGCTTTGACCTAAGTTGAATAATGGCCTTGATATGGGTGGAGTCCATTTACATACCTCCTGAAGCCTGATAAACCCCCAGAGATGACATCATCCCATCCTGCCTAGTTGCTAGGATGTTGCTAAGACTCTCCCAAATGATTCAAACCCCCTCATATGTGCTCTCTCTCCCCTGTTGCAGTAGCTCTGAGCTCAGCAATGCTGTGATGGAGGAGATAGTGGACCACACATGTGCGGGGATTTGAGAACTCCCTTCTATTATGGAGGGGGTGAGCAGTAATGGCTGGGAGTGTCTTAGCAACGTCCTAGCAACAAGGCAGGACAGAGGGATGCCATCTCTGAGAGTTTTTCGGTCAGGTTTTATGTAAATATCCTAGTACAGTTTGTTTTTAATCTATAGGTTCCCCTTAATCTTAAGGTAAAGCCTTAAAGAGAAACTTTTCACCCCCCCCCCCATGTAAAATCTGGCCCAACTCCCCTTTACCTTAGTTTGCTATTGAATACTTACCTGAACACCTGAATCACATGATATGGAGGGGATTGGAACACCTGAATCACATGATATGGAGGGGATTGGAACACCTGAATCACATGATATGGAGGGGATTGCAACACTTGAATCACATGATTGGGAGGGGATTGGAACACCTGAATCACATGATACGGAGGGGATTGGAACACCTGAAGCACATGATATGGAGGGGATTGGAACACCTGAATCACATGATACGGAGGGGATTGGAACACCTGAATCACATGATATGGAGGGGATTGAAACACCTGAATCACATGATATGGAGGGGATTGGAACACTTGAATCACATGATTGGGAGGGGATTGGAACACCTGAATCACATGATATGGAGGGGATTGGAACACTTGAATCACATGATTGGGAGGGGATTGGAACACCTGAATCACATGATATGGAGGGGATTGGAACACCTGAAGCACATGATATGGAGGGGATTGGAACACCTGAATCACAAGATATGGAGGGGATTGGAACACCTGAATCACATGATATGGAGGGGATTGGAACACCTGAATCACATGATATGGAGGGGATTGGAACACCTGAATCACATGATATGGAGGGGATTGGAACACCTGAATCACATGATATGGAGGGGATTGGAACACCTGAATCACATGATATGGAGGGGATTGGAACACCTGAATCACATGATATGGAGGGGATTGGAACACCTGAATCACATGATATGGAGGGGATTGGAACACCTGAATCACATGATATGGAGGGGATTGGAACACCTGAATCACATGATATGGAGGGGATTGGAACACCTGAATCACATGATATGGAGGGGATTGGAACACTTGAATCACATGATATGGAGGGGATTGGAACACCTGAATCACATGATATGGATGGCGGGCCCAATACGTCCGGCAATATGGTGTATGTACCAACAGTAGCAGTACCTTGCTCCTACCAGTCCATCGCTATCACACAAGTGGCAGTTATCACGGCTCTTCCACTTGTACCTACAGGTGAGTATATAATCGGGGTTCCCTGTAGGTATACGGAACATTCCCCGCCGCGCTCCGCTTAGGAGATATTCACTCGTTCTGCAGTCCATGGGCTCTGAAGAGATGGCGCGCTCCTATTCACTCACATGCGATTCTTTGCAGTGCGATTTGAACACATTCATTTTGTATGGACTCAATTTGTACTGAACCTCAGGAAAAAGTTGCAGGCATCCATTTTTTTTCTTTTGCCGCATCAGAATCGGATCGCATGGGAGTTCACGCCAGGCTCGGGGACATGGGCGATCACGCCAGGCTCAGGAACATGGGCGTTCACGCCAGGCTCGGGAACATGGGCGATCACGCCAGGCTCAGGAACATGGGAGTTCACGCCAGGCTCAGGAACATGGGAGTTCACGCCAGGCTCGGGAACATGGGCGTTCACGCCAGGCTCAGGAACATGGGGGTTCATGCCAGGCTCAAGGACATGGGCGTTCACGCCAGGCTCGGGAACATGGGAGTTCACGCCAGGCTCGGGGACATGGGCGTTCATGCCAGGCTCGGGGACATGGGCGTTCACGCCAGGCTCAGGAACATGGGCGTTCACGCCAGGCTCGGGAACATGGGCGTTCATGCCAGGCTCGGGAACATGGGCGTTCATGCCAGGCTCGGGAACATGGACGTTCATGCCAGGCTCGGGGACATGGGCGATCACGCCAGGCTCAGGAACATGGGTGTTCACGCCAGGCTCAGGAACATGGGAGTTCACGCCAGGCTCAGGAACATGGGAGTTCACGCCAGGCTCGGGAACATGGGTGTTCACGCCAGGCTCAGGAACATGGGAGTTCACGCCAGGCTCGGGAACATGGGCGTTGATGCCAGGCTCAAGGACATGGGCGTTCACGCCAGGCTCAGGAACATGGGCGTTCACGCCAGGCTCGGGAACATGGGTGTTCACGCCAGGCTCAGGAACATGGGAGTTCACGCCAGGCTCGGGAACATGGGCGTTCACGCCAGGCTCAGGAACATGGGGGTTCATGCCAGGCTCAAGGACATGGGCGTTCACGCCAGGCTCGGGAACATGGGAGTTCACGCCAGGCTCGGGGACATGGGCGTTCATGCCAGGCTCGGGGACATGGGCGTTCACGCCAGGCTCAGGAACATGGGCGTTCACGCCAGGCTCGGGAACATGGGCGTTCATGCCAGGCTCGGGAACATGGGCGTTCATGCCAGGCTCGGGAACATGGACGTTCATGCCAGGCTCGGGGACATGGGCGATCACGCCAGGCTCAGGAACATGGGTGTTCACGCCAGGCTCAGGAACATGGGAGTTCACGCCAGGCTCAGGAACATGGGAGTTCACGCCAGGCTCGGGAACATGGGTGTTCACGCCAGGCTCAGGAACATGGGAGTTCACGCCAGGCTCGGGAACATGGGCGTTGATGCCAGGCTCAAGGACATGGGCGTTCACGCCAGGCTCAGGAACATGGGCGTTCACGCCAGGCTCGGGAACATGGGTGTTCACGCCAGGCTCAGGAACATGGGAGTTCACGCCAGGCTCGGGAACATGGGCGTTCACGCCAGGCTCGGGAACATGGGCGTTCACGCCAGGCTCAAGGACATGGGCGTTCACGCCAGGCTCAAGGACATGGGCGTTCACGCCAGGCTCGGGAACATGGACGTTCACGCCAGGCTCGGGAACATGGGCGTTCACGCCAGGCTCAAGGACATGGGCGTTCACACCAGGCTCAGGAACATGGACGTTCACGCCAGGCTCGGGAACAAGGGCGTTCATGGGCGTTCATGCCAGGCTCGGGAACATGGACGTTCATGCCAGGCTCGGGGACATGGGCGATCACGCCAGGCTCAGGAACATGGGTGTTCACGCCAGGCTCAGGAACATGGGAGTTCACGCCAGGCTCAGGAACATGGGAGTTCACGCCAGGCTCGGGAACATGGGTGTTCACGCCAGGCTCAGGAACATGGGAGTTCACGCCAGGCTCGGGAACATGGGCGTTGATGCCAGGCTCAAGGACATGGGCGTTCACGCCAGGCTCAGGAACATGGGCGTTCACGCCAGGCTCGGGAACATGGGTGTTCACGCCAGGCTCAGGAACATGGGAGTTCACGCCAGGCTCGGGAACATGGGCGTTCACGCCAGGCTCGGGAACATGGGCGTTCACGCCAGGCTCAAGGACATGGGCGTTCACGCCAGGCTCAAGGACATGGGCGTTCACGCCAGGCTCGGGAACATGGACGTTCACGCCAGGCTCGGGAACATGGGCGTTCACGCCAGGCTCAAGGACATGGGCGTTCACACCAGGCTCAGGAACATGGACGTTCACGCCAGGCTCGGGAACAAGGGCGTTCACGCCAGGTTCGGGAACATGGGCGTTCACGCCAGGCTCCGGAACATGGGCATTCACGCCAGGCTCCGGAACATGGGCGTTCACGCCAGGTTTGGGAACATGGGCGTTCACGCCAGGCTCAGAAACATGGGCGTTCATGCCAGGCTCCGGAACATGGGCGTTCACGCCAGGCTCCAGAACATGGGCGTTCACGCCAGGCTCCAGAACATGGGCGTTCACACCCATGCGATCCAATTGTTGCAACTGCAATGCGTTTTGCGACCTGTTTTAGGCTGTCAGTTTAACATTGACGCTGGTGGCAGATCGCAGGAATGGGGCGTGATTTCCCTGTAGTGTGGGGAGCTCTCAGGATTCGCTGCGTTTCCCGCGCTGCATATATGTGACGCGGCTAATGCTAGGGAAGGGGAGGTGGGGGTGGGCAGTTGATGAAATTCTCTAATATTGTTACTTTCTGCTGTCTGATGTTATTCCTGATTGGTGAACGTTCAGGAGGACCATCGATGGCGGGTAGCTGGGTATGGGGTCCTTTCAGGTGAACTCTGACGGGGACAGCGGGTCTTAGTACTGTATGTCCTCCAATTCTCACCATGGATTTTATTTTCAGGTCGATCGATAAATGTCTCTTCCTTTTTGCTGAGTGAGCGATATTCCAGGTCTGAGTCCTCCTGGCAGATGAAAGGTTTGTACCATGATAAATATCCCTTCGCTCTGACAGTTGGCTGGGGGGACAAATTCTCCCAATTTAAACTCCGCTGCCGGGAAGAAAACATTCTGTCTGCAGTTTGTTTTCAGTGGAGGAATTCCTGACATGCTCTGTTACTGGGGGGGGGGGGGGGAGAGGGATACAAGTTTCCACTGTGGATGGCAGCCTGGGAGAGCCGGCCTGGCAGAGCTTCTCTGATGGTTTTCCTTTATTTGGTTAAATTCGTCCTCCCTATATTTGGTTAGGAATTCCGCCACTTGCTGCGAGTCCCAGAGGGACCAAGAGGCCGAGGGAGGCCGAGGGATGGGTGTGCAGGGAGGCCGAGGGATGGGTGTACAGGGAGGCCGAGGGATGGGTGTGCAGGGAGGCCGAGGGATGGGTGTGCAGGGAGGCCGAAGGAGGCAGGCCGAGGGATGGGTGTGCAGGGAGGCCGAGGGAGGCCGAGGGAGGCAGGCCGAGGGATGGGTGTGCAGGGAGGCCGAGGGATGGGTGTGCAGGGAGGCCGAGGGATGGGTGTGCAGGGAGGCCGCCGAGGGAGGCCGAGGGAGGCAGGCCGAGGGATGGGTGTGCAGGGAGGCCGAGGGATGGGTGTGCAGGGAGGCCGAGGGAGGCCGAGGGATGGGTGTGCAAAGAGGCCAAGGGATGGGTGTGCAGGGAGGCCGAGGGAGGCAGGCCGAGGGATGGGTGTGCAGGGAGGGCCGAGGGATGGGTGTGCAGGGAGGCCGAGGGATGGGTGTGCAGGGAGGCCGAGGGATGGGTGTGCAGGAAGGCCGAGGGAGGCAGGCCTCGGGATGGGTGTGCAGGGGTTAATATCATGAGGTCATGGTCTAGAGGAGCCAAAACATCTTCTATTATGTTGGATGGAGTGGTGAGGGGTTGGAACCCCTCTCAGGTTTCTGTTGATGTCTGTGTCCCACCTGCACCCCTCTATTTGCCTTACTGGCCTTATTATTCAGAAAAAAAAGTCCTGATAGATCACTCCCCCCTCCCCTCCTCCCCCCTCCCGGTACAAATCATCAGTAAGACTTCATCTGGAATATGCAGTTCAGTTTTGGGCTCCAATTCACAAAAAGAACATTGGGGAACTGGAGAAAGTACAGAGAAGGGCAACCAAACTGATACGAGGCATGGAGGAGATCAGCTATGAGGAGAGATTAGAGGAACTGAATGTATTCTCTACTGAGAAGAGGAGATTAAGGGGGGATATGATCTCCATGTATAATACATAAGGGGGGGATATGATCTCCATGTATAATACATAAGGGGGGATATGATCTCCATGTATAATACATAAGGGGGGGATATGATCTCCATGTATAATACATAAGGGGGGATATGATCTCCATGTATAATACACAAGGGGGGATATGATCTCCATGTATAATACATAAGGGGGGGGATATGATCTCCTTGTATAATACATAAGGGGGGATATGATCTCCATGTATAATACATAAGGGGGGGATATGATCTCCATGTTATAATACATAAGGGGGATATGATCTCCATGTATAATACATAAGGGGGATGTGATCTCCATGTATAATACATAAAGGGGGGATATGATCTCCATGTATAATACATAAGGGGGGGATGTGATCTCCATGTATAATACATAAGGGGGGGATGTGATCTCCATGTATAATACATAAGGGGGATGTGATCTCCATGTATAATACATAAGGGGGGATATGATCTCCATGTATAATACATGAGGGGGGATATGATCTCCATGTATAATACATAAGGGGGGGATATGACCTCCATGTATAATACATAAGGGGGGGATATGACCTCCATGT